TCTACACTGTATTACCTAGAGGGGGCGGTGCTGTCTACACTGTATTACCTAGAGGGGGGGTGCTGTCTACACTGTATTACCTAGAGGGGCGGTGCTGTCTACACTGTATTACCTAGAGGGGACGGTGCTGTCTACACTGTATTACCTAGAGGGGACGGTGCTGTCTACACTGTATTACCTAGAGGGGCGGTGCTGTCTACACTGTATTACCCAGAGGGGATGGTGCTGTCTACATTGTATTACCCAGAGGGGGCGGTGCTGTCTACACTGTATTACCCAGAGGGGGCGGTGCTGTCTACACTGTATTACCTGGGGGCCTCTCTACACTATTTTACCTGGGTGGGTGCTCTCTACAACAAATTACCTGAAGGAGCTCTCTACATTATATTTCCTGGGGGGGGGTGCTCTATCACTATATTACCTGAAGGGGTGCTTTCTACACTATATTACCTTGGTGGGGGGCTCTTTAAGACCACAGCTCAGAAGGAAGAGGGTAGGAGGCTGTTTCCCACTTTTTGGCAATGATTTCTAAAGCCAAGAATCTTAGAAGACTCCTTTGTTCAAAAGGCCCTTTGAAGCCGCATGTATTTCCATAGAAAACACACCCCTGTGGTTACTGTTGTGAATGTTCTGTTTTCCTAGCAAGAGAAAGATGTACCAGTCTTGCAAAGGAGCTGGATTGAGGAGCTATGAAATGCGGCCCTGGAACCGGTTCTGTGGCTCTTTCCCACAGCTGCGGGGAGCAGCAACAGCGCTTCCCTCTTTTTAGATTTCTTTTGTTAATTATGAAGACTTGGCAGTTTTTAAGCCAGGCTCTGGTTTAAAATTTCATCGTGAATTTCCTTTGATTTTATTGCCAGAAACAAAAAGCTAAGTAGGATTTTCCTTCGTAACAGGGAAAGTATGGCGCACACAGTGGGGCTCTTCTGTGGGCCTGAACCAGCATACTGGGACAAAGTTGGGGTCCTAAGAGGACCTCAGCAAGTGGGCCCTTCTAGTGATGTTCTTGGGGGAGGAAGTGCGCCGGTCTCTGAGCTAAAAGGATGAGGAAGTTGGGGTTGGCTGTTTGCAGACACAGGTAACAACAGGGTCTGCAGAGGGAATGAAGGTGTGTGAATTGTGAAGCGCCGCCCTTGGGACTCCTCACTCACCCCTGCATAGGGCCCGCCCACCCCCGCCCACCCCCGCCCACCCCAGCCATCATTCCAATTCAGGTGGAATGGGTGAAGAGGCTAGACACCAGTAGACATTAGTCAATGTCTGGCTTTTCACCCTAGGTTGCTCCCTCACCGGCAGCAGCTTCAAGGAGCCAGGAAACTCAGAACTTAAGGTGAAAGGGTCAGAGGGTCATGGGCGAGGGCCTCTCTGCCGGGGCGAAGGCTGTGGAGGGGGGGTGGGGCTGCCTCCCACAGCTAGGTGGAAGGAGGGGCTATTGCTGAGACCCTTTACACCACACAAATGGGTTCAGCGCACTCGGGGGTCGGCAAGAGTGGGTGGGTGGGCAGTGGTGGTGATAGTGAATGTGAGATGGAATGCCCCGGGGGAAGAGCACAGACTTTTTGGGCCCCAAATGTTTTTCCTTCCCAGGACCCAGGCAAGATGGAAGAAAGCAGTCAGGAAGAGCCAAATGTCCCGAGTTCCTGTGGACAGACTCTCAGAAGCCCACAGGAGGGAAAGCTGGGCCACGAAGCCCCAGAGCCCTCTGGCCTGGCTTCCCAGGGCTTGTCAGCATCCCAAGATCCCTCCGAGGGGCTTGGCGCTGGCCTGAGCCCTGAGAGCGCAGAATCCCAGACACTGCTGACCCACTCTCCTCAGGGTCACCCGGAGAAGACGCCACAGGGTCAGCATGGGCAGTGGCCTCGGGGTTATAACGGAGAGTCGATCCGGGGACCAGACAAAGGGGCTCCTCAGAGTCAAAGAGAAAGGAAGCGGGCTCAGCAGGGCCAGGAATTCAAAACCCCTCAGTTTGGGGAAGGCAGTAATGTAGAAGTCTGCGGGGACGCTCAGGGAGAAGCGACAGCGTGGCGCCAGGAAGAGGGCGACTCTCAGGGCCATTCCAGGGACTTCTGCAGGTCCCCAGGAAAACCGACCCTCCAGCGTGTGGAATCGGGGATACCAGGACCCCTAGGTGGTAGCACCCAGCTGACACAGGCGGTGGCCATCCAGGAAGGGGCGTGGGCCCCTCCCCCTGCCGCGGTGCCTCCCGCCCCGCCTGTGCTCCGAGGCCCTGAAGGTGGAATGCCGGCCTCTGGGGCGCAGGAGCCCCAGGCGAGGCTCCCTGGTGCACTCTGGGAGCAGAGAGGCCCTAGGGGTCCCAAATCCTCGAAGGCCGCGTGGCCCGAGCCCGGGAGCAGGGAGGATCCGCTGGCCCTCGAGGAGCAGGAGGCTCTGCAGCGGCTGCTGGAGCTGCACCGCGCGGCCAAGGAGAAGCGGCGGCGGGACCGCGAGCAGCAGAGGCTGCGGGTGCGTGCCCAGGCCCCGCCTGCCGGCGGTGGAAGCAGTGGGAGGGTCGCCGAGGCGGAGCCCGGCTGACTGCAGCTTCCCCAGGTCCTGGAACGACTCCGCATCCTCGGGAACCACCATCGTCGGGTTCACCCGCTGGGGTTCCCTCCCAGGGTGGCTCAGATGGCACCACAGGCAAGAACCTGGGGAAAGGCCACTTGGTCACCATGTCTCTGCCCCTGGAGGGGAGGGCAGGAGTCCGCGGCTTCCAAAGGTGCTCAGCGGGAGAGGGGAGGGAGCCGGGCTGCACCCTGCTGGCGGTACCGCGGGCTCAGAACTTTTGCCACCTAGGAGGATGCGGCAGGTTGGAGACACATCTTGCGGGAGCGGCTGGCACAAGCGCACCGAGGCAGGACTCAGTGGCTGCGGGCACTCGGGGCCAGGTGAGGGGCAGGCAGGGAAAGGCAGGTGCTCCTTTGCCCTAACGTCTGACTGACAAGCCACTGTCTTCCCAGGAACACCCAGAACTTCCAGGAGCTACTGTCCCCTGGCACCGAGGAACCTAGTCCCGGAGAATAATGCGCACACCACCGGGCCTGCTCCCGCCCTTGCTGGGTCCCCATGGAGACAGGGAGATGATGGTTAAGGAAAAGGTTAAAAGGGTGACCTCAGATGTGAGGTAGTTTCAGAAAGGTCCAGAGGAAGCATCCAGGCCAGGGGGAACAAAAACACACAGCAAGGCAGCTGCACCAGAAACCCTATTATTTCTTCTTTCTGCACCTAAGTCACTGCCTGGCCCAAGGTCAGAGGGCCAGGTCTCGGGGGTCCAGCAGTGCAAAGGCCCCATTCTTCCGGAAGAATGACTCAATGCGGCACATCTTGCAAGAGACCATTTCTTGCTTTGTGGCGGGGCCTGGGAAGAGATGTCAGATACTAGGATTGGGTTTCCGGGGGAAGGGTCTCAGAGCACAGTCACCCTGTCACACAGCCCCCGACTCTGCCCATGTTGTATCTACTCCGTGTGAATAAATGAAAAGGGCTTCTGGACAACTGGACTCAGCAGTGACAGCAGTGTGGCCTGAAGCTGTCTGCCATGGTCACCCAGTTCTAAGATGTTCCACCAGGGCCTTCTTTTTGGTACCTAGATAGGTGACAGACCACTCTCTCCCCAGGGCCACCAGGTCAGAGTGTGCTTCTAGCTATGACTGTCACAGGGACAGACTGTGGAGACATGGGACCTCCTTCTACCTGCACCCCCTTCTGGGGCTTCCTCTTGCTTTTGTAGGGGAGCTGCTGCCCTTACTTGCCGGGGGTGGGTGGGGTGGGTGAGGGAACTGTGTCGCTCTCCAACCACCCAGCTTTTCTGCACACACTCGGGACACACTGCCTAGAAATTCCCGACGGGCAGTAAACAGACACTCCAGAGCCCGCATCAGTGCGACAACACCCACGGCCTCATTGCTTTCCCCACACTTCTGAAGAACCACTGGCTTCTCTGCCCCAGCTGATGACCTACCTCCAGCCTCAGGGGGGAAGAAACCTCAGGTGGCTGCCTTCCTGCCAATGTCTTCCTCACCTTCTATCCTTTGCTTTAAATAGCTCTTACACTCTAGTGACTCCCTCTGACCTAACTCCTGAAGGCCATGTCTCCACACACAGCTGCCTCAGTGGCATCTGGAACCTGCCAGGACCAACCCCCATCTGTCTTCACCCATCTCCAGCCCTGTCTCTTCTAATCCTACCAGCAAGTACGACGAAATCTGTGTATTGCCATTGCTGTCCCTGTCACATTTAAACCATCAATGAGCTCCACTGAGCTTTGTCCAAAACATCCTTGATTTCAGTTGCTAATCCTAACCACATCTTGCCAAGATAACACAAAACAAATGCCTAACTCATCTGCTAGATGCTTCAGTTTCCCAAATCCAGTATGACTCATCTGCTTAAAACTCTCCAATGAGGATAAAATCCAAAGCCCTTCCCACATCATTTACCCTCAGCCTCAAAAGCCTCAAGAAAGGCCTTGGCTGACAATCCAACCCGAGGCCCCTCCTCCCTTCATTTCACGGGGCTTGTCCCTCCCAGGTCTATCTCCTCGCCCTGTTTACACAATCTGGCATTCCCCTAGAATGTTGTGAGGTGACTTATTTACGGGAGGTCGGGGCTCACCCAGCTGCCAGCCATATGTGAAGTTGGTGGTGATGGGGAACAGGTAGCGCGTCTCTGGCAGGTGCAGTTTTCGGGTGTTGAGATACTGGTAGCGCCCCTGAAAGTCATGGGAGATGCCTTCATACAGCAGGGCTTTGGTGTCGGGTGACACTGGGTACATTTCTGACTGAAAATGAACCTCTGGGACAGGGCTAGGGGCCTTAGAAGGGGCTGTTTTGGAGACAGGCGGTGGTGAGTCTGGGGCCTTAGGCATCAGGGTGGGCAGTTTGAGGGGAAGACGGGCCGCAGCCTTGGCTTTCTGCTTGGCCTTCACCAGAGTCCCATACTTGCGATGCCATTCACAGCGCAGCTTCATCTCTCTGAGGTATTCCTCCTTCCAGAAGTTTTGCCGCAGAGTGTCCATGTTGAGTTGCCTCGACATGGTGACAGGGAATGAGCAGTATGGGTGGCTATTGCTGAGTGAGCACAGCAAGCAGAGACAGAGGGTGGATGCCCTGGGACAGTCACCTGGCAACCAGCCTCACCTCACACAGGGCCAGGGTTCTACCTGCCATTGCCCTCAGCAGATCCTGTGTTGCCCTTTCTGAGGCAGCCAGGGCAGGGCTCACTAACGAAACACCTGGGTCCTCAAACCCGTAGGCCTCAGCCTCTATCTACAACAGTGGTTCTCAACTTTCTTAGAGCTGTGGCCCTTTTATACAGTCCCTCCTGCTGTGGTGACCCCCAACCATAAATTGATTTTGTTGCTACTTCGTGACTGTAATTTTGCTGCTGTTAGGAATCATGATGTAAGTACCTGTGTTTTCTGATGGTCTTCGGTGACCCCTGTGGAAGGGGTCTCGACCCACAGGTTGGGTGAGAATGCCAACCTAGATGACAATCCTCTGCAGTCGCTTTTGTCCCTTGGGCAGGGCCCCTCCCAGCACCATGGAAGCTGAGTGACGGCACAAAGGTCCCCACTGGGCTCAAGCTCTGTCCTCCTCCCTGAAGCCAGTCTATGATCCAGGTGACCAGTCCTTGAATTAGACACCCCCCACCCCCCTCAACTCTTCACCTGGATCTCTGGTAGCCTCCTCATATTCGCCAATCTCATGTCCCCCAACACTGCACATTCCAGCGTCCACCTGGAGAGAATATTCCTTTAATACCAACAATGACACGTTTAACAGTGCAGGGACTGTGGAGAGAGAAGAGGGTGGGGCTCTCTTTCCCTAACCAGCATGGACCTCAACAGCAGAACCCCACAGCCTAGGAGCCCCTCAGTGAAGAGGGAGGGAGGGGCTGGAACTGGCAAACTGGGAGAGGCCGGGCAGTGAGAGCGGGGTTGGGGCTGAGGAGCCCTAGCGCAGGTCTTCAGCCGTGAACATGCCCTTGGCCCTGCGCAGGATGGAGTCTTTGGCTGCATCGTAGGGATGCTCCTTCGATGGGATCTCCAAGACAGCTGGAATGGACCGCTGGTGGGCATCAAGAGCATGCCGGACCATCTCTGCGATGTACTGGTTGATGAGGATGATGCCAATGTCATCCCTGTTTAGAAACTGCCTGTTGGGGAAGAGGAGGAGAATGCCAGTGACCTGGGGGCACAAGGGTCTCAACCTTATCGTTCTTGGATGAACCACTTGGACACCCATCATGTACTCATGGGGGGAAATGGTATGAAGACCAGGGTGCATGTCAGTGTGGCCTATACACTGCCCCTGGGTAGGAAAGGGGAGGAGAGGGAAATAGTATGAGGCCCTTTGTATCAGCATAAGAAGATTCTAGAAACATAAGAATCTTACTATTGAGGGAGGTGGAGAAGGGAGAAATATTAAGATATCGGGTTGAGGAGACCACCAAAAAGTCTGTGCTGGTAGGGGCAGGGATGGGCCAGGGCCAGGATGACATTTGCCATAAGCCAAAGACAAGATGGAAAGAGGAAACCGAGCAATGAAGGAATCACAGTTTCCAGACAGAAACCACCGTCATTATGGCCTTCCTCTCATGTGATCACTCCCCCAAAGATGTACACATTCATTCAGCCATTTACTCATTACGAATAATTTACTGGGGAAAAAAAAAAAAGAAAGCCAGGCGGTGGAGGCACACCCTTTTAATTTATTTATTTTCTCCTTTCCGAGACAGGGTTTCTCTGTGAAACAATCCTGGCTGTCCTAGAACACACTCTGTAGACCACGCTGGTCTCGAACTCACAGAGATGGCCTGCTTCTACCTCCTGAGTGCTGGGATTAAAGGTATGGCCACCACCACCTGGCTGAGGCACACCTTTAGTCCCAGGGCAGCCAAGGCTACACAGAGAAACCCTGTCTCAAAAAAACAAAACAAACAAAAATAATATACTGGGCACCTACTTTATGCCAAGCATGGAATAGATTTGACTTGATCATTTCAGGATTCCTTCTTGTTGCAAACATGGAAAATTCTTGGAAGTAAAAATCTCTCCTCCAGTGACAATGGAGGTCACTTTTACCATATTGCTTAGAGATCAGCTGACCGCACCAGGTCAGAGCCTGCCACATCGCAGGCAGTGGGAACTAGTCTCAACCAGCATCCAGCTGGGCTATTTAGGGAAAACAGGTGAGGGCAGTTGATTCCTGAGACTTGGCAAAGTAACCCTGAAAAGGGAGAAAAAGAATTGGGAGTTGGCACCCTCGATTGCTGTCAACCAGGACACTTCCTGGCTTAAAGGAATGCCTGCACCCACTTTTTTGAAACTATGATCTTTGACCCTGGGCACAAAGTGAGGGCTTGAAGTACAAGGTCTTTGTGCAAGGCCATGCTTTCCAGAGGGTCTGCCCACCGTACTCAAGACAAATGGAAACCCCAAGGCAGACTGCAGAAAGCTGCACAAACAGAGGAGCTACTAGCTTAAGAAAAGCAGAAGGGCTATCAAGACAGCTTGGTGGGTGCAGGTGCCTGCTGGCTACGTTAGTTCTGTCCTCAAAGCCCATGGAACGAGAAAATTGACTCCACAAAGTTGGCTTCTGACCTCCATATGTGTGCAGTGACAAGCACGCCTCCCCACGGACACACATCACACACACAGACTCAGTAATTAAAAATAAAAGAGATGGGAAGTGGTGGCGCAGGCCTTTAATCCCAGAACTCGGGAGGCAGAGCAAGGCGGATCTCTGTGAGTTCAAGGCCAGCCTGGTCTACAGAGCGAGATCCAGGACAGGCACCAAAACCACACGGAGAAACCCTGTCTCGAAAAACTAAAAAATAAATAAGTAAGTAAATTTAAAGAGAGAGAGAGAGAGAGAGAGAGATGGGTAGTGGTGGTGCAGGCTTTTAATCTCAGCACTCAGGAGGCAGAGGCAATCGGATCTCTGCGTTCGAGGGCAGCCTGGTCTACAGAGCGAGTTCCGGGACTACACAGAGAAATATTATGTTAAATAAACAAACAAATAAAAGAGAAAGAGTTTGATCTAGGTTCTGCCTCTTACAGCTGGCCTGTCTATCTTTGTGCCTGTGCCCTAACCTATCCCTTCCTCATTTTTCTCCCCAGTAAGGGGGAATAACCACTACCTTACAGGACAGTTGTAAGCCTCTAAGATAAATGAAGCATGTATACACACACACACACACACACACACACACGAGCCCACTGTCCAGACCCACACTGGATGTGGTTTGTTTAGGGTACGACTCGAAAAGACTACAAGGTCCAGAGAATGCGCTACAGGTGAGGGTCAGGGACCCCGGAAGCGGCGCTGCGCCCGCGGGTCTCCACGGACTGGAGGCTCCAAGCATCTAATCACAGCAGGGGCGGATCACAAGCTCGGATCACGTGACTGGGCGCTCGGGAACCTGACTTGCGCCGGGCCCCTCGGAGCCCCAAAGGGAACTCAGGCTGCGGAGGCCTCTGCTCCGGATGGGCTGACGGCTTCCAGCACCACCCCGATCCCCATCACCGCTTGACGCCCATCTCCTCGCGCCTGTACCACGCAGAAGGACCCATTTAGGCCTCCCGGGCTACCGTACCTGAAGGTGTCTTCGATCTCATTGATGGTGGTGTCCTTCTCCACTACCAGGAAATTAGGGTGGCGGTTCTTGTTGAGCTCCCCTATGCCACCCAGCAGGAAACCCGTCACCGTGTCCTCGTCTCCAATCACCGCGATTAGTTTACCCCTGCCCGCCATTCCGACAGCCGAGCAGGCCGCTCCCCAAACACCTGAGATGCTCCGCCCCGCAGCCGCCCCTCCCTTCGGTCATGCGCGGGTCCCCGCCCCCGACATGCGCATTAGCCGGAACACGCTCGGCGGCGCCATAGGGGACGGAGCCACGGAACTACGTCTCCCAGAAGGCTGAGCGGCACAGCACCCTCGCTGGCGTTCTGTCCTTCGTTCCTTCCTTCTTCTGGAAGAAACGTTTTTTTTGAACCTAGAGTTATTAGAGGACGAGACTTCAGGGAGCAGACCCAGTTTTTTTGTGTATATTTATATTGTTTTTTTGGCTTTTTGAGACAGGCGTCATTTAGTCCAGGCCGGTCTTGAACTTGCAGTGTAGGAGAGGATGGCCTTGAATTCCTGATCCCATTGCTACTTTCCACACAGAACAGAGTGTGTATATAGTTTGTTTGGTTTAAAAAAATTTTTTTTGGTTACATAAGTTCTTTCGGAGGCTCGCGTGGGGCGGCGGTGGTGGAGGGTGCGTGTGTGTGAGGTCATAGAACACCCTGTGGGAGTCTCTTCCATTATGTAGGCCTTTGGGTCATCTGGTTAATTTCGGTGTGTGTTTTTTTGGTTTTTGTTTTTTGTTTCTCTCCCTCCCTCCCGCCCTCCCTTCCTCCTCTCTCCCTCTCTTTCTCCCTCCCTCTCTTCTTCTCTCCCTCCTTCCCTTCCTCTCTCTCTCTCCCTCCTTCCCTCTCTCCCTCCCTCCCTCCCTCCCTTCCTCCCTCCCTCTCTTTCTCTCTCCCTCTCTTCCTCTCTCCCTCCCTCCCTCTCTCCCTCCCTCCCTCCCTCCCTCCCTCCCTCCTCTCTTTCTTTCTTGTTAGGGTCTCACTATTTAGCCTAACCTGGCCTCAGCCTCTCAAGTACCAGGGTTTAAGTCTTGTGCCACCATGCCGCATCCCTGCCCCTTTGTTTGGTTTTATTTGGTAGCTTGTTTTTTTTAAACCTGTGTTGTGTGGTCTGTGCTGCCCGGAACTCAGAATGTAGACCAGGCTGGCCTTGAACTTGCAGTGAGTGATCCTACTGCCTCGCCCTCCTGAATGCTGGGATTGCAGGAGTTCACCATTTGCTCCTGCCTCCTTCGTTTGTTTTGCCCACTCAGGCCTCAAACAACCCAACTCCACAATTGTCCAAGAAAAGATTTCCCAGCTGGAAGGTCAAGGTCTAAATCAGTACCATGTACACATGCAGGTTAGCTATGACTATTAACAATTACTCAATAGATATTTAATTACTAAAGAAAAGGGCAAATTAATGATGACACTGTGTAGTGCTGTAGAGTCAAGGCCTTATGTTAGTTGCTAAATTCAGAGAACTCTATAGAAGTAATCCTAGCATTTAGGAGGTTGATGCAGGAGGATTGCCACAAGCTCAAGGTCATCCCTGGACTGTATATTAAGACTGTCTTGGGCCTAGCAAGATGGCTGAGTGAGTAAGGGCATCCGCCACACAGTTGGTGACCGGAGTTCAATCTCTAGAACCTACATGGTGGATGGAGGGGAGCAAGTCTGCCAGTGTCCTCTGACCTCTGCATTGTGTCATGGGACACACATGCGCATACCCAGAGGCACACTAAAGTAACCAAAAAAGTGTAAGCAATTGTTTTAAAACCCATCTTAACAACAACCCCCCCAAAAACAAACAAACAAACAAAAACCCAGGCTGGGCAATGGTAGCGCACATATTTAATCCCCGCACTCGGGAGGCAGAGGATCTCTGTGAGTTTGAGGCCAGCCTGGTCTACATAGTGAGTTCCAGGACAGCCAGGCTACACAGAGAAACCCTATCTTGGAAACAAAACAAACAAACAATGAAAGAATCTAGAAGTTTTCCTGAGGAGTAAAGGGTAATTGTCACCAGACTCACGCATTAGAACTTCCTGGGACTATGCTGTGTGTGGAGGCAAGGCTGAGGGGACCAAACAGAAGTGATGGTGGCCGAAATGCAGGGAAGGTGGAGTGGATGGAGTTGAGAGGTCCTTAGAGTCAGAGTACACAAAACTGGTTTTGAGGTTGGATGTGTTGGAGCAGCAAGGAAAGAGACTCTCTTGTAGCCTGTGCATCTGTTGGGATAAGAGGAACACTCCTGACCGCACACACTCTGAAGGAGCAGGATGGAGAGGAAAGGACCACTGACCTTCCAACACACCACACGCACATACACAGAAGCGGGCGGGGAAGAATTGGGCTTGGAGTGCTCGGCACATCCACATGGTCTAGTCTAGTGGTTGTATGTATGTATGGCAGTCAACTGGGATTGAGAAACACTGGTCCCAGGGCATTAGTGAGACATACCTTTGGCCTCCCAGCATGCACGGTGAATATGGATGACACCCACCATCACAGACGATGGGGTCCAAGACTAAGTAAAAAGCCTAACGATGTCTAATGTGATCTGAGCAGCCCCGATGTGTTCTCTGCATCCTGATCCTCCCCATCCATGGGTGTGAGCCTTGGGCTCCTAACCACCCCAGCCAAAAGCTTCTTGTTGCTGTGTCTCCTCCCCCACAGCAGACTGACACCTCAGGCTGTGAGCCGAAATTAACCCGCCAGCCCTTCATTGCTTCCTGTCAAGTATTTGGTCACAACTGCAGGAAAAATAGAAGCAATGTGGCCTGGGATTTTAAGGTACACTCAGGGTTCTCTCTCGGCTTGGCCGTTTCGAGGCTTGTTTTAGACTCAGCACTGACGTTCTCGGGGCCATGTCACAGGACTGTGAAAGGCTTGGGAAGAGGCCCACAGCTGCTCAGCACCTGCTGCCCCACCAAGCCTGGGTGAGAGCAGCTGACCCACTATGTGTGAGTACTTCAAGTCACAGGGAGGGCAGCAAACCAGCTCAATCTGGGGCAAAGAGGGACAGATAGGGAGTGAGGGCGTGTGGGGTGTGGACAGGACCATTTGCTCCAGCACCTGGCACAAAAGTCCTGTGTGAGCACAAGGGGCTGGGTGCTAGCACCAGAGAACAAACCTGCCTCTAATGGGCTGAAGGAGCTTTAAGGAGCCGAACGGTGAGTGCCGCGTGCATCACAGCTCCTACGTTCAACCACGGTCTATCAAAACGGGACCATGATTAGGAGCTGGGGATGAATGATGGATAGAACAGGATTTCTGTTCTCAGGAGCTCCCTGCGGGGAGAAGGGGAAGGATAAGGGGAGAGTGAGAAATCTCAGTGGGAAGAGCAGGGATGCAATAAAGAGAAGTTCCAGAGGGGCCTTGGTGGCAGGTCCAGAGAGAGCGGAGGAAAGTACTTCCTGTCACCTACAGTGTGACGGGGACAGGAGACATAGTTCTATACTGCCATCTGCAACGGTCTGAGAGGTTTTATTTTCTGAGACCTCTCTTAGGTAAAGCTGTTTTTGTTTTTGTTTGTTTTTTGTTTTCATTTCAGAAAAGAATTTCAGGAGGAGTCAATACCAAGCCGAGTTCTAATTTATTAGAGAGATTCTCAGGGGCAGGATATTCAAGCATGGGTGTGGGCTTCTCAAGAGAGATGACATGTCTTAACCATAGCCATATGCATTATTTTGGTGACTTCTGGAGTCACATTTCGAAGGGTTACTAAGGAGCTGAAATGAGATCACAGGATGGTTCCTGATAGGTTTACAGCTAATAACCACCATCCTGAGTCACCGGGGAAGCGTGAGGAAGATAAGATGTTTTTATTGTTAACAACAGTTCAGTCTTACTTGTAAGATCCCCAGAAAACTTCCTGTTTGCAGCTGGGAAGAGAGGCCATGCATGCTTAGGCCTTACGCATGGCTCATTGCCATGTTAACGTTTTTATTTGAAATATCTCTACATGAAAGGAGTATTGTCTCTGTGTTGGCAGTCTTCACAGAAAATGTGAATTGTGCTGGAATTCTTGACTCCTGGAGTGAGGAGGCTCCCTTCCCTTCCCATGTCCCACGAGTCTTTCTAGCCTGTCTCATTCTTGGGTCAGGAAGGGAAAGGAGAAACGGAAAGAGAGAATGAGGGGGCAGACAGGCCTCTGGATGAAGCCAGGTTTTGGGGCTGGGCTCACTGTCTCAGTCTTGGTGGCATCACTGTGGAGGGCTTGGGGATGGCTCTATTGTTAGGGGGGTCCATCTAGTGAAGTGAGCTTGTGCCCTGCTTTGAACATGTTCACACATCACCATGCCTGTGTTAGAACTCTCAGGGTCGGGGGCTTAGAGTAGATGTGGAGGCCGTGGGTATCTGGTCACAGATCAGGGTAATGACCATAAGCAGAAGCGTGGACACTGGTAGTGGTGACTCAGGAGAGGCCAGAAGCAGCTCAGGAAAGTCTCCTGTCGGCCAGGAAGATGAGTGTGGGAAGGCAACCATGTTCCAGGCAGAGGCCAGAACTGCAGCATAGGTACCCAGGAAACCACGGAGCAGAGGGAGGTGGAGAGTGCAAATGGGGATTGGATGCACTGTCCAACCACATGTGGTATCTGAACTCAGGGGAGCGTGGAGACGACCATCTCCTCGAATGAGACCAGAGCCATAAGGGCCCTGGATCTAAACCACAGGGACATGGGGCCTTTAATGGGAAATGGAGGGAAGGGCAGGGCCAAGAGATTAGTTCAGAAGCTGCTTTGCTGCTTGGGCAGTGGTCACAGTTCTTTGTTTTGTTTTGTTTGAGACAGGGTCTCTATGTAGCTCTGGCTGTCCTGGAACTCACTTTGTAGGCAAGGCTAGTACTGATCTGCCTCAGAGAGATCTGCCTTTGCCTCCCAAGTGCTGGGATTAAAGTGCCTTCCAGTCACTCTTAACACTGACCGCTCTCATCTGCCATCTTCCAACCTTCCAGCTAGAGGGAGGAGACTACTTCTCCACCGGGTCCTCTTTCAGCCAGCATTCCTGACTTCCTGTCTTGCCCAGGCTCCCACCCTCAGCCTGGAGTCAGGTCTCTGGGGAACAGCCGTCTCCCCTCTGTGTGGTCCTCTACCCCAGGTCAGGAGGCAACGATGGACAAGCGCACACACTCAGGAAGAACAGCCAACTCTCCGCGACAGCTACACTTTATTTGGTGTTTTCCACATGTGCAAAAGTTT